AGAATGTCGTTTCTTGCTTGATTCTTTTGAGGCTTGCATGCATGTTAACAGGGTCCAAATGATTTGGACATCATCAATAGAGAAACAACTACAAAATTTAAGAGTAATTGCTACAATTATTCAAACAAGAAGCTGATTGTGATGGTTAAGAGAGATAGTTTAATCTGTTTACTCAAGGAAGCAAATTGAGTTGATGATTCTAACAATCAATGAAAAAGAAATTGTACTATCTTCATTGCTAGAATTTAAGAATAATTGTTGGAATCATCGTCAGGATTTGCAGACAAGGGAAACGAATTGCAAGGTTGGGTTTTGAGGGAGTGAAGAGTGAGAAAGAGAGGGGAGAAGTGGAGTTGGAGGAGAGAGAGAGCGAGGGTTGGCTGGAGGCAGAGAAGGCGATGTCGGAGGGAGTGAAAAGAGCGTCAGCGGTGGCAATAGAGTGGTCGTCGTCGACGGTTCAAGAACCGCTAGCACCAGTTGGTTGGCAACCTACCCACCAATTGTTGCTTTTTCTATTTTCAAAATTGTTATTTATTTATATAATTTTTAAACTATTTTAATATTTAAAAGAAAAGAAAAAATAAAATAACCTGAATTTAAAATTTCTATCTTTTCTGTAGTTGAAATTAACAGACAAATTATAACGGAGGGTGGAAAAATGTCATTATGAAACCTGGTGGGTGGGAAAGTGTCATTAGGTCAAACCTTGGGTGGGAAAAAGTCGTTTACTCTTTTTTATAAGATAAAGATGATGGTATATTTTTTATTTGAACCATACCATTACAGTCCATACCATAACGTGTCCACACTATTTTAACAATAAATAATAATAATAATAATAATAATAACTTTAAAATTATCATTTAACTTAACATTTCAACCGAAGTCTTATTATTGGCAATTATACTAGTTTGTGTTAAATTTATATGTATAGTATTTGATTAAATATAAAGCTTGCTATTCATTTAAAATAGTTAAATTAATCAAGACAAGTTTTGATATGTTAATGACCATACGCAATGAATTGACAACACGTGCATCACATGAAAGAGAAAGACCACTGCTATCCCTAATACAAGCACCATTCTTCCCTTTTTCTTTTCTTTTTATTTACAGAAATACTATGCATACTACTGGTTTTTACTAACCATTATACAACATGACATGACATCTGATATGGCGATGCCAACTCATTTGCCACATCAGTTACGTGCCACGTCAGATAGTTAAAAAAAAGTCCCCAAAAAAATTTCCCGCTTACGAATTTTTTGCCCAAAAAAAATTTGTGCCCTAATCTCCTTCTCCCCTAAATCACCAACCACCACTCCGGCACCGAAAATAAACTCCAACACCACATTTCACTTCATCGGCCTCCCCTGACCAAAACCCCTATCATCCCCACCGAAGATCACCCATCAATCACCGGCCGCCGCTCATCTAGGGTTCGCACTCTTCAAACCAATTTTCGATCGATTTCGGCATCGGAAATCTACCCCGATACCACATTTCACCTCACCGGCCTCCCCTGACAAAAACCCCTATCATCCCCACTGAAGATCACCCACCAATGCAATGTTTAAACTTGTTTTCTGGGTTTGCGATTGTTTCAATTAACTGTAATATTTTTTTTTCATTTTTCATTTTGGTTTACAACAAGATCGGTTATGTTAGTCAATCGAATCAATCCTTGGTCCCATCAAATGCTAGAACTTCTTTTGGAAAACAATGCTTTGTAAAACCAATTTGTGCAGAACTAAGGAGCGACTTAGGGGTTCCTCTTGCAGCTGGTGTGGTTGCTCCAGGTACAGTTAAAATTATGAACCCTGCAAATGCGATTTCTAAAATAAATTGAAGTTGAAAAAATTACATACAACATGTAGAAAATAAGAAACAAGCAGTAACATTTGATAGATTGTCATAATCTGAACTTAAGAAAACGTTGAAAACCAAATGAAAAGAAATTTCTTGGCTGAAGGTGGATTTGGTTCTGTGCACTGGGGTGTAATTAATTTACTGTAAATTTCTTAAAAAGTGTGTAAATAATTTACTCAAATTGTTTTTCATGTAAACAGTTTCTTTCTTAAGAAGAGTTTCTTGAATTGGTTTTGAAATTTGGACTGTATTGTGTATGGTTATAGTGTGCCTTGAATATACTTTTTGTGGCCAAGCAAGTTAATAGCAGAATTGGGGCTTTGCAGGATGTGATCAAGAACCATTGGAATGGTATGCAAGTTAATTAATATTAGTTATTGAGTAAAGAGTAAAGCTGAAGTTGAGAGAGAGAGTTCTTAAATTTCAGAATTCACATTAACTCAAATATGTTTCGAAGTGGTGGTGCTCATACTAAATGTTGTGGTTCAGATTGATTAATGCTCCTGCTTTGCAGATTACAAATTGCTGATACATGTTTTTAACTTCAAAATTGAGTGTCTGGTGAATCAATGGTACAAAGTAAGGTGGCTCAGTTTAAGGGAGGATATTGAGTAAGTTGAAAGATGAAAAATGAAAAATGGTCACAGTAAGGTGGTTTGGCTTACGGGTGGAATGGATGGTGGGAATGGCAGCTTGATTGGAGTATTTGTTTTGGAGTTTGTTTGATGGGAGATTGATTATATTGGGAGTGTTTGTGTTGTTAGATTGGTTGTAATGTTTTTCGGCCTTCCCTATGCATCCAGTCAGTCAGTCACCATATCCACTTGAATATGTTCTATGCTCACCACTTGCTCAACCATTTGCCAAAACCAAAACCAAGGAATAAGCAAGCAAGCGCATGCGCGCGCAAGCAGCTCCTAGCGCATGTGCGTCTCCTCCCAGCGCCCCAAACCGCCTTTCTTGGCCTTGCCCAACCTACATTTCACCAACCTAACACTGCCAGCACCCCTGCAACCACCTGCAGCCATTGCCTACCACACACTGCCCCCCTTTTCTGTCTATTGCAGTCACTTCCCAGCCATCACCCACCACCACACACTGCCTCCCTTTACTGCAGTCTCTTCCCAGCCATCACCCGCCACCACAGCTGCCTCCTACTATACACAAGCCACCCTGCCCTCCCTGCGCCCCAACCACCTTTCTTGGCCTTGCCCAACCCAGATTTCACCAACCTAACACCCCTAGCACCCCTACAACCACCCGTAGCGATCAAGAAAATCACATAAATTGATTGTTTAGAATCAAGAAGTCAGCTCATCAGACTCAACTTGTTTAAAGAGAACCATATTTTTGTGACTCATTGATGTAATTTATTGCTTCTAATTTAGGTTTTCAAATGCTTCAAGGTTTAGATGTTCTTTCCCCAATGTTATGTTGTGGGGTCATGTTTTGTTTTGGTAAAAATATTGTACAAGAAATGGCTAATACCAACAATTGTATTAATAAAGTGTTTTTTTGCTTATAGTAAATCTTGCATCTTTTAAATTGATGTCTTGCATGTACAAAATATTATACAAGAACAAAATATATTGTTCATGATACAAGGGTAAGAAGCTATGCACAATATATGATACAAGAACAAAATATTATCCAAGAACAGCATGATATGTTTAGCTTGGATTATAAACGAACAAAAATAAATTATATAATACAACTTTACGATATAACATCTTCAAACTGTCTATTCTTTTCACTATGGTCTTCACCCATTATTCTTCATTCACAAGCTTGAATCTGTTGGATACGGCCTATAAGCGACTGACCTTTCACTGTAATTCTGGAAAATGTAAAACAAAATGACTTAAGAAATTAATTGTACACCAAAAAGAAAAGGGCAGAAAATTAATGAATCATACCTGATTTAATATATGAACTCCTTTTTCACATCCTTGGAAGTTAATCGCATCTTGAAAAGCTTCATTTGCTTGCTTGGTTTCTTGGGAACCCCCATCATACAATCAATTTAGGGATGTCGCAGCACACACTTTTTCATGAAATTTCTTTTGTTTACCTTTACATACATTTTGTTCGAGCTTCGATTGCTTCCTTTTGAATGGAGGTCGACCTTTGCAATGAACAGCCTGGGGAGTTAAAATTTTATTGCTTGCCTCTGTGGAATTAGCATGAACACTATCAAAATTTGATCCACTGTGACATGACATGTCACCATGTCTATCAAGCCCACCAGCACGTTCATTTGACAATAATTTCTTCTTCATGTCAGTAATCATATGCATCACCATATTACTATCATCAATATTGGTTAAGGCTAAATCAGCCACTTCAGAGAATGAATTAGACAACTGATCAAACCGTTCTCCTTCAACAGTCGTGCTCTAGCTATTATAACTAACTCTAATCTTTGTGTGGCATCTATATACATTTTTCCTCCACTTTCTTAAAATGAACTTTTCAGGTATATGATAAATCTCTTTATGAAGCAATACCACTATTGCATGTCGACAAATAATCCCTATAAACTCAAACAATCGACAGTTGAAATGAACATCACAACCACGGTCATCATAGCAAACCACAAAAGGCACACTACGACATGTATCCCCAACCACGACAACTTCCTTTATAATATATTCTATTTCAGATTCAGTGGCCTAGAAAGAAGATATCTCACAAGGCAACTTAGCAGTAAGCTCTTACTGAAACTCTTTGAATTTTGCGGTCGTGTATGCCTCCTTAAATTGTTTCTCCATTGGATAACCGGTTATGCAAGGAATCCATGATTTCCATGATTTAAAATCAGCCTCCTTTTCTTTTTCTACTTTATCACACAATGCATTCTCATACTATTCTGCAAACTATTTCAAAGTGGTTTTAGAATTTACATACCCATCAAAGAATGCATGCATACTTTCACTCCGTTGAGTGGTAGACATACCTGCCCAAAAGGTGTCTTTTACAAACGTTGGCACCCAACGTTGTCTTTCATTATACAGTCCAAGTAACCACTCATTGTTGTGAAGGTTGTATTTATCAATGAATCCAGTCCAACATTGTTCGTGTGTCAATGAATTATACACAGCATTTTGCAAAGCAAACTTAATACGTTCCTATTCGCTATAACCCCTTAACTTTTCTGGCAATTTCTTCATTATGTGCCACAAACACCATCTATGCCGTGTACCAGGAAACACAATCTCGATTGCATTTTGCATCACCTTATCTTGATCAGTGATTATTGCATTTGGAGCACAATTCCACATACATGCAAGCCAAGATTCAAAAAGCCAAACAAAAGTCTCTGTGTCCTCATGAGAGATTAACCCACAACCTAAGAGTGTTGAATGCCCATGATGGTCAACACCAACAAACGCCGCAAATGGCATATCATACTTGTTGGTCAAGTATGTAGTGTCAAATGTGACAACGTCGCCAAATTCCTTAAATGCAGCCCTATTTCTTGCATCCACCCATATAACATTCTGTAATCGACCCTCTTCATCTAAATCCATCATGTAAAAGAAATTTGCATTATCTTTTTGCATCTTCAAAAAATATTTTTGGATTGCATAAGTGTCCCTAGCACCAAGTCGCATCCTCATAACTTTTTCAATATAGTTCCTATAATCTTTTTGCAAGAAAGTCAAATTCTCAAGACCGCCTGCTTCAACTAACATGGAATTGAAATATTTATTCGGCCTAATCCCGGCCCTATCATTTACTTCAAGTCTCCTTTTCATGTATGGTTGTATACCACGATTGCTCCTAAAATATCTAGTTTTTGTTGGGCTACTGAGCTCATGGTTATGATTCAACCCCACTGAACATATTTGCCATTTTTCGTTACCAAGTATATATGCACCAACCCGAGCCTTACAAACCGTCTTTGTCACTGGGTACAATTTAAAAGCATTTCGGGTGTTACTACTCAACTTCCCAGTACAAGAACAAGCTAGTGTTGCGTTTGTCATCTCTCCATCATCTCCTTTCCTTAAGGATCTTATAATAACTTCAAACTTCATTCTATTCCCGTAGCTTCTGTAGTATTGGAGAAGATTATCAAGTGAATCAAAAACCATCCCAAGCTTCGACTCCCATTCCTCCTCTGCACTTCTTTTATCTTCAACTTCTTCAAATTGATTATCCTGATTCATTTATATTATAATAACAGAATTAGAATATTATAAGATAACAAACATGATAGAAACAAAACCATCAAATTTTTTGTTTAAACTACATTAACTTGTGCGTATACAAAAATTTATCATTTATCATACAAACATGGGTACTCATTGATACATAATAATAACTTCGTTTCATTACAATGCTTACCCTTTTAGTATTAGAAACTGAAGCCTTTAACTATTCATTTGTCTCCTCCATTGTCTGCTCCTACATGTTATCAGCCTTTGTTTCTGCCTCCTCTGCAAAACCCTTAACAACTTAAATTCATTTTGAATGCAATGAACTAAACTAAACTTGTGTATTAATAATTAAGAAAAAAAAATTAATAATTACAGTTAAATCAGGAAGATAATCTATTACATTTATGAAGAAAGTTCTATTCAGCACTCATGTTTCAGTACATGGGTACTCTCTATGATTCCCATTTATCCACATGCAGCAACTATATGTAAAGACACAACAATCCAAACCATATAAGCTAGCACATCAAATCAAAGTAGTAACAACTAACCTCCCAATTGTAAGAACTAAATGTTTTCTAAGATACCAAGGAACATCTCTCCTGGATATATAATAAGAAACTGATTTTTAACAAGAAGGTAGAAAACAGGAAGAAACATCCTTATGAAATAAGGGGCAAAAAGACAAGTGCCTTTATAGCAGGATATTTGCTACGAGTTAGCTAAATCTAAGGAAACAAAAATGATAGAACAAAGATCATCAATTTCCTTAAACATATAAAACCATCTGCAAATTTATGAATAATCATCCATCAATATTTCCCAACAAGCCGTAAATCTAAACTCAATATCCAGTAAAAAAAGGAGTTGACCTCACCAGAGTCCACCATCCTGCTGGTTATAATAAGAAATGGGTTTGTGTACATCCCAACATCAATGACCAGCACCTAACTCAATAAAGTACATATCATTACTTAAAAGCATGCATGTTAGTAACAAAAACAATACCAAAAATGTCCACCACCAATATTAAGGTCACACAAAGATGTATTTTCCATGAAGAATTTCAAGAAAGCATGCATAAATCCAGGCCTTCGACAGACACAAAGATTTATTAACTTGAACAACACATAACAAAACTATACCAACACATACCAAAACTATACCAACACATACTAAAGAATTTGGGTTGCACTTGAAAATTGGGGAAAGACAGTCCAAATGGCTACTTTAGCCATTATGATTATATGATTATGATAACTAATATAAAAGATTTCTAAGTGTCTTGTTGAAAACTATATTATTAGTCCTCAAAAAAAAGGTTCCAGGCATTACTAAAACCAGTCACCAAGTCATCCGATTTTCACCTTTTCTTCCTCAAATTGTGCAGTTCCCTTTCACTGTTTTACATTTGCACAAAATTTCCTCAATTTATTGGATTTACAAAGCTCCTTTTCACTATAATATTGTTTATCATAAAATTTATACACACTTATACATGGTTCTCAACTCAAAAGCACCAAGCAAGTGTTGTGTTCCACTTCTCCCAACAGCAGCAAGTAAGTAAGAGAGACCATTGAGTGAGTAAGCTCTTACCACTCAAAAGGAACTCTCACTGGTCAGTGACGGCGACAATGGATGTCACAGCCGGCAGTTCAAAGTTTTTGGGTTTTGAGTATGATTTAATTTGGGAGAAGATTTAGGTTATTAAGATTGGGATTTGAGAGAGAAGATTTAGGTTATTAAGATTGGGATTCGGGAGAGAAGATTTTAAGTTATTAAGATTGAGATTAGGGAGGCAAAGTTTTTGGAGGCAAAAATTCGTTCTAGTAAGACAAAAGCAAAATTTTTTTGGGAATTTATTTTTTTAACTATCTGACGTGGCAGATGAATTGGCATCACCACGTCAGATGCCACGTCATGTTGTATGCTGGTTAGTAAAAACCAATAGTATGCATAGTATCTCTGTTTTATTTAATACATTACAAATATTTTGTTTTTAAAATGCCGTGTAGTCAAGTGATATACTGTTAAACTAACAAAAAATAAATTTGATTGATAAAACGGTATAAAATGCAAAGTAAATATTGTGTGATGTATTTTATCAGTCTATTGATTTATCATTCGTATGATTCAATTACTCCCTCTATTTCAATATATATGTCTTTTTAGACTTATTACTTTTTTCTAAAATAAGTGTCTTTTGACAAAAAAGTTGAGCGACCCTCTTTATCTTTCTCGTTTTATGGCCCTTGTCTCCTCTCTTTTTCTTTTTATCTGGCCACTCGTCTCCTCTCTCTCTTTGTTTCTTGATGTGCCCTTTATTTCCAGCAAATTCAAAATCCCTCTTGTCTCAATTTTGAATCTGTCTCCGCGACTTAAACACAACCCATGTTAGCCTTGTCTACATCTCTCTGTTTATATACTGTGTTTTTGTTCATTCTTTCAAACACCATTAACTCTTCACATTTCTCTCTAGTTTCATATAACTGGCATCAAAATGTTCTCCTCTCACTAGCTTCTAGCTCACAAAGCTTCTATGGGACAAATATGGTGACCTTATTTAACTTTTATGAAATTAATTAGTTGGCAAAGTTCTTCAAGGTTCAAACTTTAAATTATTGGTGCTTTTGTTTTGCTTGAACTTGATTTATTCTTTTATTTTATGTCTTTGCTTCCATTTCCCAGGTCACTTATACTTTCATTATTGTTAAAAATTGTTACTTTCTATACTGGGTATTAACTGGTCGACATTAAATTATGAAAATTTCATTGACATTAGAACAGATTTGGGACACTGCTGGTCAAGAGAGGTTTAGAGCTATTACTTTTGCTTCCTATAGAGGTGTTGTTGATACACTAGTTGTTTATGACATTACCAGAAGAAAAAATACTGTAATTAGAAGGCGTTACTGTTATAATGGCTAATGAGGGAAATAGTAATAGGGCATAATGAGAGAAAAGTACTATAAAACCAAAAAAATCCACCAGACTTTGAGAGGGAAAAGTAATTTTAAATTTGTAATTTGTCAAATTTTCAATTATTGAAGAGTAAATAAGAGCAGACAAGGTAAAAGACAGATTTTGTTAATGTAAAAGAGTAGCAACAAATTATTAAAGATGATTTGTTTATATAAAATTATTTCTTATAAGAGAGAAAAGGCATCATTATTTTCATTTATAAGAGAAAAATATTCACCTTAATTCGTAAAAAATGGTGTAATTTACTAAAAATAAAAAGAGGGAGTCGGGTCGTCAGTCAATAAACTGGGATCCCAGGCCCACCACTGTAAATAGTTCCAGCTTGCGCCTTGATATGCATTTCATAAACACACCTCATTCTCCGTATCCGTGTGCATAACGACTTTCCACACCCATCCAACAAAAGTCAAACTGTCATTCTAATGAACGCCACCATCTTACTATCTCCTCAGTCACATCCATCTGATAAACACGACACAATTATTCATTGCATCGGTATTAAATGACATATTACACTTGACACACATACGGATACGGCTGGACCCTAATGTCTGCCAAGACATACGGCCACATGGAGGTTAGCTAGCTGGGTCATTCAACTGGAATTTATCATGTTGTAATATAAAATATAATACGTGGGTCAATTTCTATTCTCCTTATCACAGTTATGAATTTAATTGGTGTGTCTTATGCTTAAATTATATATATATATGATTTTAGTTAGGAATTTGTCTTTAAAATTATATTTGTTTTGAAGAATTAACATATATTAGGGTGTATGACATTTCTTTTCATCATTGTTTCAATCTAATATTGATATACACATTATAATAGTACTGGAGATTTGTTCGTCCTTGCTCCTAAATTAATTATTTTCAAGGTTTTTAAGTGAATCTACCTGTGTTTGACTTTTTTTGTCATGAATTTAAAAAGAGTAATACTATATGCACTAACCAATGTGTACTAATTCAAGTATTAACATTGAAAATTTGAAAAAAAAATTTGGAGGAAATTTCAATTTCCAATGTTAATACTTGGATTAGTACACATTGGTTAGTCACATATTTTTATTCATTTAAAAATGTCTTTAACCCTTTAATATTGAGTAACCTAAATTAATTATTTTTCAAGGTTTTTTTTAAGTGAATCTCCCTGTGTTTGACTTTTTTTGTCATGAATTTAAAAATGCACTTTAACCCTCTAATATTAGTAACAACTTTTTCTCTCTCAAATAATAGCTTAATGATACTTTTCTATCTACAAATTTTAAAATATCATTTTCTATCCAAATTTATATCCGTTTCCGATTCTGGTATCATGGTGACCTCACACCACCACCATTATCTCCTAGATCATACTCACCAAAACCCCTCAAACCCTACTCTTGTCGACCCTGTTATTGCTGGTAATCGAGCGATTAGGGTTTATGCAACCACCCCTCCCAAATCAAATTATGATCAATCACAATCACACAAAATCCAACTTTCCACCACCAAAAGATGCATCGACCTCCCCTCTTCAAATGTCCTAACAGTTTGACTATGTTTGCTCTCTGTTCATCATAGGAATATAATTTTGATAATAAGTGATATTTGAAAAATATGTGAGTGGAAAAGTGTTATTAAGCCATTATTTGGGTGGAAAAAGTCGTTAACTCTCTAATATTTGACTTTTTTTTTTTTTTTTTTTGTGAACATCCATTGTTTCAAAAATACAATCCTAACTTCTGTTTTTAATATATTGTTAGATTATTTAGTTTAAATTGGAAGGAAATGATGTTTTTATTAAATTCTGTTAATAACATTAAGAGATTATTTTATTGTTTATAGGTTAAATTGATGAAGTTATTGATTTGAAGGTTCAATTGATGATATTTGTGAACTACAGTGCCAAGGCTAGGATCGCATTTTCCAAACTAGCGGGAGCTAGAATACATTTCTGAAACTAACGAGGTGCTCACTAAAAAAAGTCAAAACACACTAGAGTTTACTATTAAAAAGAAACTCTTTCAAATCACCAACATTTTT